AAGGAAGCACTGAGGCCAGGGAGCTGGATGTGCCATCCATGAGGCTGCTGGCATCACCCTGTGCCAGAGCTCCCTGCAAAAGTCAGTGAGTCACTGAGCTTCTGGGCACCAAAACTCAGAGTGCCAATGTCAGACTAAAACTCTGCAGGCCTGCAGTTCACTAGGAAGCCTCTTGTCAACACTGGGGCTGAAAGGACAGAGCATCCCTGGGTCGGGGGCCATCCCCACACCTGGCCTTGGCATGCTTCCCCACTGCCTGCCCAGGCACTGCCTGTCCGATGCAGCAACACTGGGTCCAGATGCAGATTATGATAATCACCTCAGCCTCCTGAGCACACTCCAATTTAGATCTATCCAGATTAAGTGTCCCTTCTCTGGCTCCTTTCATTCCTTTAGCTAACGAGAGCTGTCTCTCTTTGCATTCGGTTATTTAGAAGATGTAGAACTGTCACATGGATGCTTTCCCTTTAAGGAACCAGGTGACCCTTCTATACATTTTCTCCCTTTAAGATGACATTGGAGAGAGGGTTTAAAGTGTTTCACAGATATGTTCCAAGTTTCAGGATAAAAAACTATCTACATATGTACACACAACATATCCAATTTGTAACTTGGAAACAGACATGATCATAAAACCAGGAGCTTCTAATCTCTGCTCAAGATCCCTGTTCAACAGTAACAGCCTTTGGTGGTTGGCTTCTGGCCAAATCAATGAATGACTCAGCCTGTTTTCTGACTCAACCCCATCTTCCTAGCTAGGAATTTAGTGGCTAGGAATACACGTTTGGGCTTCTCATATATGTATAGACTAAATTACACACACACAAGCATGCACACACACACACATTGTATATACTTGGTTACAAAAACTTAGTAGTACCTATTTAAAAAAATTATGTACAGCAGGTAGGCCAGGATGCAGTAAGTTTTAATTTAATAATGAAGTTGTTGGTTTAAATAATGTCCATCCTTTAGCAAGCTTCCTTACGTGTGGTTTTCTGAAGTCACCGCTGTAGACTGAATGGCTGAGTGCCCTCCCAAGGTCACATGTTCAAACCTAATGCCCAGTGTGATGGCATTTGGAGATACATGCTCATGAATGAAGGGCATGTTAGTGCCCTTATAAAAGAGGCCCCATATTATTAAAAAGTAAAAAACAAAACAAAAACCACTAGATGCTGGTGGAATGCTTACACAGTGCTGGTGGGAGTGCAAATTAGTTCACCCATTGTGGAAAGTGGTGTATTGTGGAAAGTGGTGTGACAATTCCTCAAAGAACTAAAACAGAACTATCATTTGACCCAGCAATCCCATTACTAGGTATATACCCCCAAAAATACAAACTGTTCTACTGTAAAGACACATGCACGCATATGTTCACTGCAGTGCTATTCACAATAGCAAAGATATGGAATCAACCTAAATGCCCATCAATGGTAGACTGGATAAGGAATATGTGGTACATATACATCATGGAATACTATGCAGCCATAAAAAACAACAAGATCATGTCCTTTGCAGGAACATGGATGGAACTGGAGGTCCTCATTCTCAGCAAACTAACGCAAGAACAGAAAACCAAATACCACATGTTCTCACTTATAAGTGGGAGCTAAATGAGAACACACAGACAGAGAAAGCAGGACAGCAGAACGCTGGGACCTACTTGAGGGTGGAGGATGGAAGGAGGTAGAGGTTTAGAGAAAAAGAAAACCGTTGGGTAATATGCTTAATACTCAGGTAAGGATATAATCTGTACACCAAGCCGTTAAGTCATAAGTTTATCTATATAACAAACCTGCATATGTACCCCTTAACCTAAAATAAAAGTTAAAATACATTTAAATATAAAATAAAAGAGACCCCAGAGGGCTGCCTTGCCTCTTCTGCCTTATGAGGACACAGTGAGAAGATGGCTGGTCATAAACTAGGAAATGGGTCCTCACTAGACACCAAATCTGATTGTATATTGATTTTGGACTTCCCAGCATCCAGAAGTGAAAGAAATTCATTTCTGCTCTTTAGAAGCCACTGAGTTACAGTGTTTTATTACAGCAGACCAAATGGACTAAGATAATCATTTAGTTAGAAACTTTTAAGCAACTGATGAATGTAAATCAATGTACTGATTTATGAATTCCAAATCTCCTTGAATGTCCTACTTTGTATCATGTTCCCAAATGTCATATTTTACATTCTGACTTCAGATTTAAATGTATTATGTATAATATTCATGAAAATCAGTGTCATTTAATGGGCTGCCTGAAAAATATGTGTCATCTTGCATTTTGATGTATTGTAAATATTCAGTTAAGTGGATGTAAGGGCAGAAAATATATAACTTTAAATCCAGTGGATAGCCTCTTGGTTCTGACCAATCATCTATTCTGTCTTCACAAATGAAAAACACAGATCAGGTGCTGTGGCTCATGCTTGTAATTTCAGCACTTGGGGAGGCCAAGGAGGGAGGACTGCTTGAGCCCAGGAGTTTGAGATCAGCCGGGGCAGCATAGTGAGACCTCATCTCTACAAAAAGTTAAAAAAAAAAAATTAGCCATGACTATAGTCCCAGCTATTCAGGAGGCCGAGGTGAGAGGACTCCTTGAGGCTACAGTGAGCTCTGATCGTGCCACTGCACTTCAGCCTGGGCAACCGAGTGAGACTCTGTCAATGAATGAATGAATGAATAATGAATGAATGAAATAAGTCAGGAACATGAGCTTTCCTGTATGCTTAGTGTCTAGTACAGTACTGGACACATACCAGATGCTTAAAAATTCGCTATTAATTGTTTCATAACTAATCTGACAGCATAATTCCTTGCAGGTTGAATACCTGTCTGGGTCACCTGGACATGCAAAGATGGGCCCTAGAGCCTGATCTTAAAAGTATTGCAAGACAAAGGGAGCGATCACTACTCTGCCCGAGGAGAACAAGGATGAGGAGCCCATGCAGATGGTGGAGAGCAGGGGAGATGAGAGGAGGGATGAATGGCTCAAGAAGAGGAGGAGGTGGGCGCTCAGGGGAGAGCCCAATGAATGGATGCTCCTGGGTGCTAGGGACAGTCAAGGGACTTAGGAACAAAGGCATCCAACATCAGGTTTTAACTTAACTGTTCTGCTGTGTGACTGCCCTCCCTCCATTCCCAACAACTTTCAAACTTAGCCCCATTTTGCAGCTTGAGGGCGGAGTGCATTAGTGTTCCAGTCAGCAGGAAGTCATTCTCAGAGAAAAAGGAATTTGATTTGAGAGGCCCAATTCTCCTGGCAGAAATGTTGGGGTGTGAAATCAGGCTGCTCAAGTTAAAGGGGTCAGAGGTATAGCTCCTGAAGGTTAATTACTGTTAAAGGAAAATTCTCAAAATGGTAAAGCTATGACTCTCACACAAATATAGCATGAATATTTTTCAAAGACATTAGTTAAAGAGGGAATCAATAAGGTGTTCAACTGATTTAAAGAATCTGAAGACTACATATATACAGTCAATCATGAATGCGAAAAAGAAGTTGCTAGGAGATGCAAAACTGAAATGGGTTTGCTAATCAGTACTGAAATGAATCTATTAATAGATTGGTTAGTATCTACATGTACTAAAATGTCATGTTTGAAATCTTATTTTCTCCTATATACCAATTATTTTCTCCTATATACCAATTACCCCTATATAACAATTTTTTTTTTTTTTTTGCATTTCTATGGACAAGAATCATTTGGTTACTATCAGTTTTCTGCAACTTATAGATGTTAACCCTGAATGATCCACTAACCAACCCCAGCATTCCATTGAAAGGTACTTGGTAATCTTTTGCCCACCTCAAAGTCTTCCACAGTGTTTCCTGACAGTCTTCATCCACCAAATGGGGATGTGCCTACAAGTGAGGGTGTCCCAGTGGACTACAGAGCTCTCTAAGCTTCCTGGCACTCAGTGGGTGCTCAACCCATGGGGGTTTTGATTGTGATGAAGTCTCAGCAGGATGAGTGTTAACTCTGGGGGACATTTATGAATGTATATCATTCTAAGACAGTCACAAATTGGTAACAGATGCTTCCCCTAGTGTAGGCTCTGTCATTTAGATGATGGCTTCATAACTTGAGGTCTACCTGCGTCGCTGTTATACACATGCTTGGAAAAATGCAGCACGAACCTATTGTGTGATGTAGCTACTAACATGGTTCATGTAATGAAGCTCATTAATAGAAGCAGAGGCAATATCTGGATCACAGGAGGTAATGGATGAGTCAGAAAACCAAAGTTTAAATATGGGGTTCAATTAGGGGTATTAGATGTTAAGAAGGGTATGGATTAATATGAGAAAATCCAGACAAGGCAGGATACTGGTGGGCCTGAAAATCAATTCATATGAGGAACATCTGACAAATACCAAACATCTGACAGAATACCAAGACAAATCTTGGTATTCTGAGAACAGCATACCAAGTGGTGATGTTCTTTTTTTTTTTTCCAAAGACCTCCAAAACTTTTACGCAGGATAAAAAAATGAGTTCAGTGTTTCTCCAAAGGGAAGACCCAGCACCAATGCACAGAAGGAAGGGGAGGCGCAGCCTGCTTGCCCAATACAGTGATGAGCAATGTCATGGACATGATGTGAAGTAGTGAGCTTCTGCCCTTGGAAAAGTCAGGCAGACGGTAGATGAGCCTTGGAAGAGGTGTGGTGGAAGGCGCTCTTGTTTGGAGGAGAGGCTGGGAAGGATGCTGGATGTATTAGTCCATTCTCACACTGCTATAAAGAACTGCCCAAGACTGGGTAATTTACAAAGGAAAGAGGTTTAATTGACTCACAGTTCCGCATGGCTGGGGAGGCCTCAGGAAACTTACTAGAACAATCGTGGCAGAAGGCGAAGGGGAAGCAAGGCACCTTCTTCACAAGATGGCAGGAGAAATTACCAAACACTTATAAAACCAGCAGATCTCGTGAGAACTCACTCACTATCATGAGAACAGCATGGGGGAGACCACCCCCATGATTCGATAACCTCCACCTGGTCTCTCCCGTGACAGATGGAGATTATGGGGATTACAATGCAAGATGAGATTTTTGGGTGGGGACAAAGGCAAACCATACTGGACAAGGGTGAGTCCAATTCTAACACAATATAATCGGGGAGTAAAATCACTCTTACTTAAATCAGTGGTGAGGGACTTCCTGATTTGTTTTTGTTTTGGTTCCAGTAGAATATAAATCAGTGCCTCCTTACCTCACCCTCTTTCTCCACTTTCCCTAACTGAAGTGGTTTGGATGCCGCTTATCTGCCTAAGTCAGGAAGTGTTTATTTGCCTAAGCCAGGAATTCACCCTGGCAGGGTGAATAAAAAGCCGCTTGTCTCACCACTCAAGACTTCCTGAGCATAGGCAGCCACCGGGCACATGGCTGATTTCCATCGGCGGCCATCCCAGGAGCCCCGGGCAGGAGCACCGCATGCTGGCCTCCCTCCCTCACAGGCCTGGTGCACCCCAGCAGACCTCGCTGCCAGGTAAGCTGTTTACTTTCTGGCTCGTGTGAAGGATAAGTTCATCCTATTGTTATTGTCCTCTTTAGACTCTTTTGTAGTTTTCAAATTTTCTACCTGGATCTTGAGCTAAGAAAAAGAAATAGAACTTTAAAAAAGTAATCTGAGTCATTAAAACAAAGTATGAGTCTTTTTCCTTGAAGTGTCTTTGTCCTCTAGACAAGTCACAAACAGCAGCAAGAAGGAGGGTAGGCTCCAAGACAAACGATCGAGACTGCTGCTCACTCAGCAGAAAAGCACACTGAGATAATAAACCATTTTGGCACAATCCGTTTTACACATTCTCCATTTTATGCCTTCTGCTAGCGTACAGACATTTAGGGAGCATGAAGTGGCAGGACATTACGAAAGACCACTTCACTGAAATATCCGTTTTTGTTAGCAGTGACAACATGCGTTACCTTCATGTCCACTGACGGGTCCCCCTGCAGCAGCGCCCACTCATACTGGACGATGGCGTGGTCATCTGTGCTCTCGCGGCCGTCTAGAACCACCCCGTCTGTGGGCAGATGCAGAACCACATCCTGCCCAGCCTTGCTAAGTGGAGGCGCATCCTTTTCTAAGAAAGAAAATAAATAATTCATAAAAGATGATTTCTTATTTTTTCTAATTTATGAAGAGAGGTATCTTGTTTGCTGAATAGATATGATGCAGCAAAGAACTGCTAAGAGAATGCATATTAAATGGAAATTGTTTTTCTATTTATTTTAAGACTGTGGAATTTCGCTATAATATGCGCAGGAGAGGCTGTGTGGAGTGCTGGCTGGTAGCAATTTTGGGGACAAGGCAGCATACTAGGTCCCACCAATGTGTAAATATGGAGAAGCAGTTTTATTTTCTAGAGTGGATTTTTCACTTAATTTTAAAATCACTTAAGTTCAAAGTACTATTAAAAAATTTATTTTAAAAGATTATTATTTTGAGATGGAGTTTTGCTCTTATCCCCCAGGCTGGAGCGCAATGGCGCGACCTCGGCTCACTGCAGCCTCTGCCTCCCGGGTCCAAGCGGTTCTCCTGCCTCAAGTAGCTGGGATTACAAGTGTGTGCCGCCACATCCTGCTAATTATTTTTTGTATTTTTAGTACAGACAGGGTTTTGCCATGTTGACCAGGCTGGTCTCGAACTCCTGGCCTCAGGTGATCCAACTGCCTCGGCCTCTCAAAGTGCTGGGATTACCGGCATGAGCTACTGCGCCTGGCCTTGAAAAGTTTATTAAAACAAACCTGAAAAACACCAAATTCACCTCTAATATGGATTTTCTTTTTTTCTTATCCTTAAGTTTTAAAAATAGGAGTGATATAAAGTATTCAATGAATGGAAAATATATTAAGTTTGAAAAGTTAAGGCAGATTCTTAGAGCCATATAAAATAAAGCCTGCATCGAAATTCTCTGGAATCCAATTTTTCATCTAGGAAAATTGAAGAAGTCCACCGCTTCTAATACCTAATTTATTTTTTGTTTATTTACTTTTTTTGAGACAGAGTCTCACTCTGTCGCCCAGGTTGGAGTGCAGTGACGTTATCTCCGCTCATTGCAAGCTCTGCCTCCTGGGTTCACACCATTCTCCTGCCTCAGCCTCCCAAGTAGCTGGGATTACAGGCACCTGCCACCATGCCCGGCTAATTTTTTTTTTTTTTAGCCAGGATGGTCTTGATCTCCTGACCTCGTGATCCACCTGCCTCGGCCTCCCAAAGTGCTGGGATTACAGGCATGAGCCACCACGCCTGGCCTCTAATAACTAATTTTTATAACAGAAGTCATCATGCTCAGATGACTACAACAGCAAAACAAATCTGTATTTACCTTTGTTTTTGTTTTGTTTTGCTTTTGAGACGGGGTCTCTATCACCCAGGCTGGTGCACAATCATAGCTTACTCATTGTAGCTTCCAACTCCTGGGCTCAAGTGATCCTCCTGCCTCAGCCTCCGGAGTACTTAGGACTACAGGTATGTACCACCACACCCAGCTATTTTCACTCTTTTGTAGTGAGAGTTGCCCAGGCTGGTCTTGAACTCCTGACCTCAAGTGATCCTCCCACCTCAGCCTCCCAAAGTGCTGGAATTACAAGTGTGAGCCACTGCACCCAGCCTATATTTACCTTTAACCTAGAATGGTACTAAATAATATAAGGTTAATTACGTTTATTTCAATATTAATACTTGACTGACAGCTGCTACAGAGATGACTGAAAGGATAAGCTACACAAAGAAAACATTTCTAAGAGCATAGTTACCAAAATTTTAATTGATGTAAGCTTCTTAGTAAATTCACCCAAATGCACACATATTTTAAAGCAGCAGCAACAGAACTGGAAAAACTCTACAGGTTTGTGTAATACACCCTCTTTGGCATCCACTTCCCCATTCCTTCAGTGCCAAAGCTCTGGTTCGAGTGCTGGCTGGGCTTGCCCCTCTTTGGCTCACCCTGCACAGTGCTGCAAAGCACCGCCTCTCCTCCTGCTTTTGAGCCCATCACTTTCCTCCACAGGGGCCAATGTTGCTACCTAAACAAACTTCTAAAGGGCCAAGCCAGGCATCCCAGTGCTTGAGTTTCAGGGCTTACTGGAATCCCACCTCAGTTTCTCATTACAGAAGGGTGACCACTCTTGATACATTGCAACTGAAATGACTCTTCTGGAATGCTCATCTGACTGGGTCATTCTGCGAGCAGGAAAAACCCTTCAGTAAGTTACCATTGCCTTTCAGATGTTTAGGACCTAACCCTCCAGGATTCTCTTCTCTTCTAGTGGTTCCCTCAATGCCCAGCACCAACGCCATTAGCAGCCAGAGCAGCCAGTTTCCACTAACCCTTTCCCATAATTCTGATGAATGCATAAGTTAAACACTCAAGCTGGAGAAACTGGTGCCTGAGTACAAGGCCTGGAATGTGAAAACAAATACATTAAGACCTCACCTGGGCTTTCTCAGACCCTAACGTCTGATCGAAGGCATTCTTACACATACACCTTGTATCAGGGCCACTTACAATTAAAGAAATCTTTCCAAGGCTCTAGGGAAACTTTCCAGACCCCAGACCCTAAAGATTAGAGTGAATGCAACACTCCTGCTTGTAGGTGCGCACTCTCACGCAGGCACAGAGATGGAATCGAATGTAAATAAACACTGAAGAAAAACTTGTAACTTTGAGTTGGTCTGGTGAGTCACTCCAATCATCTTCCTGCCACCAGTTGCAGAAATAAACTCCCTTCTTTCCCAGTCTGTCTGCATTTCATTATCAGACCGTGAGATAAAACAGCCAGATCTTGTCCATCCAGGAAGAAGGAGATTTATGTGAGGGGCCTGGGGCTCTTAGAGATGGGGCTTTTCTGAATGAGAATGCTGCTGCCAGTCACAAAGGGAAGATGCCTTTTTTTTTCTTTTTTTAAAGCATATTACAAGGAATTAAGCACAGTTGCTTTTTACATGCTATTGCTAACTATGGAGAAGACATGTCCCATTTTTCCAGTCACTTAAGAGTGAGGACTAGTAACTGTGATTTAAATAAGCCAAGTAAACAACCCCCTGCCTAGGAAGAAACTTGTTCTTCCGCCTTTTTCCACCTCTGAGGAGACACGGGGTTTTGCATGTTGGCCAGGCTGGTCTCTAACTCTTGGCCTCAAGTGATTCACCCGCCTTGGCCTCCCAAAGTGCTGGGGTTAGTTATGAGCCACCGTGCCCAGCCTCTTAATCTAAACTTTAAATTTTTTTCCTATGGCATATTCTTTCCTTGTTTGTTTTCCTTCTAAAAGGTTTCCTCTGGGTTTATAGGAAAGCTCACATAGGCAGTGTCAGTTTCTTCCAGGTAAGTAGTGAGAACACAGAGAAGAGACTTTGTTTCTTTGCTGCTGGGATATTTTGGTCTGTGTTTGGGCAGAGAGGATGTGTGTGGAACAGCCGTCCTGGGCCTCAGCGATGCTGGTGGAGGTCCAAGTGAAAGTGCCGCCTGCCCCCACTTCAGTTCCCAGTGTTTGCCTCAAGGCCAAGCAGTCACAGGGTGACCCTTTAATACCTGCTCCCCTGACAAGGGTTCTGAGCCTCATCTAACCTAGAGGTGGGGAGGGAGGCAGGATGTGATAGACATGATGGACACAGATTTCCCGACTCTTTTAATGGATCCACAGGTTTTAGAGAATGCACACTTCCAAAGGGGCTGAGCTCTGCCCCCATCTTGCTGATATCATTCGTGCTATTACGAATCAAACAGCAACAGGGCAAGATTAAACACACAGAGCATGACCACACGTTGGCACAATCAAGGTCTCTTATTCCCTCCATGACATTCATGTCCAACCACAACCATTTTTGTGCCTTCTGTATGTGTCCTGATTCTCTCCTTCAGAGCATCTACAAAAAGTCAAACCGTCGAGTCAGCATCATTTTTAGTCCTTATGAAACATGCTTTAAAGTTTCCTATTTTCTTTTTTTTTAAGACGGAGTTTCGCTCTTGTGGCCCAGGCTGGAGTGCAATAGCCCAATCTTGGCTCACTGCAACCTCCGCCTCCTGGGTTCATGCGATTCTCCCGTCTCAGCCTCCCAAATAGCTGGGATTACAGGCGCATGCCACCAGGTCTGGCTAATTTTTGTATTTTTAGTAGAGATGGGGTTTCATCACATTGGTCAGGCTGGTCTCAAACTCCTGACCTCAGGTGATCCGCCCGCCTCGGCCTCCCAAAGTGCTGGGATTATTGGCATGAGCCACCACGCCCGGCCTTAAAGTTTCTTATTTTCAATGAAAATCAAGTCCCTTCTTTTCACTTTTTATAAAAGGGAGCAGTAGTTTTCCTCCCATTTTTGTATGATGAAAGCCACCACAAGCAAAGTCAGGAGAGCCACGTTAAGAAACAGGAGTGGGTGTTATAAGAAGCCCAGCATCTTAGATTTTGCTCTTGCAATTACGTAACAGAAACCATGCCTTATACAACCCATGAGACTAAAACAAACTTTTTTCTCTGAGTTTTTCTCCTCTTTTAAATCATATTTCCACGAATCCTCTCAGATCAGCCTTCCTCTTCAAGCCTAGAAAAATTCCAGTAGCACCTCAACGCGCCCGCCCGCTTCTGCCAATCTACTGGGCTTCCTCTTAAGACAGAAAAACCCATGCCAGAAACTCCTCTGGGGTGCCCGCGGCTAAAATAACTTGACACCAGTGTGTTTCGTTCCAACTTGGCGAGGGCGCTGCGGGACCCGAGCGCTCTGGCCAAGGCCAGCCCCTCAGTCGTGCGCTTACCCAGCCGGGGTGAGGCTCGCGCTGTGGCCAGGGCGGCGCCGTCCGGGGCGCGGCTGAGGCTGTAGCTGCTGTAGCCGCGGTGCAGCGCGAACTTGCAGACGTTGCGGCCGCGCGCCGAGCAGTTGAAGAGGTAGCAGCCGAGCACGGCGGCCGGGGGCGAGGGCCGCCGGGGGAGCTCCACCACGGCCACGGAGCAGCGCGGCTCGGAGCAACAGGCCGCCACGCATTGCCGCCAGCCCCGCACGGCCGCCGGCGCCCGCAGGAAGCTGGCACCCGCCGCCAGGGAGTCCTTGGTGCGGATGATGGCGTCCGGCATGGCGCTGTAGCCGCCGCCGCCCGGACCCGGGCAGTCCTCTTGGAGGCCGC